CCAACATAGTGAAGCCCCATCTCTACTAAAAATACAAAAACTAGCCAGGCGTGGTGGTGCATCTCTGTAATCCCAGCTACTCGGGAGGCTGAAACATGAGAACTGCTTGAACCCAGGAGGTAGAGGTTACAGTGAGCCAAGATCATGCCACTGCACTTCAGTCGAGGCAACAGAATAAAACTTCATCTCAAAAAATAAAAAATAAAAGTCAAGGATTCCTGCTATCAACATTTCTATTCACAATTGTACCAAAAATCCTGGTCAGGGCAGTAAGGCAAGAAAAAGAAACAAGAGTTTTAGGAACTGGAAAAGAAAAAACAAAACTGCCTTTATTCACTGATGATGTAATTGTCTGCCTAAAAATTCCCAAAATAATCTAAAGATAAACTGTTGTATTAATTTTAACATTTATCAAGGCTGTTGGATACAAAATAAGTATGTGAACTCAATTACATGTCTATCTACCAGCCACAGTTAGAAAAGTAATATATTTTTAAAACAGAGTCATCCTTTCTAGATTCCTATAGGATAATGGCTACTTCTTAAGTCTGAAATTCTCCATTTATTCTCCAAAAGGCATAAAGATCAACAAGAAAAGCAAATGAAACTATCCAAAAAGGCATGTCGACATCATCACAAAGAGAACGCTACAAATGTCAATTTACGTGCAAGAGAGGAAATAAATACAACACCAGCAGACCCAACCCCAGAGCCCACACTGAAGCAGAGTCAGATGAGAACACACAGAAATGAGAAGAGGGAAGTCAGGTTCCTAGTGGTGGCAGAACACAGATAAAACATCACACCCAGAATGAAAGGGTCTTGCTCAGGATGGGGGAAGTTTCAGAAGAGCTCTGAGATCAGGCTGATCTGGCTACTAACGAATCAAAAGGAGGCCAGGCTCAGTGGCTCATGCCTGTAATCCCAGCACTTTGGGAGGCCAGGAGTTCAAGACCAGCCTGGCCAACATGGTGAAACCCCATCCCCACTAAAAATACAAAGATTGGCCAAAAATTGCTTGAACCTGGGAGGCAGAGGCTGCAATGAGCTGAGATCATGCCACTGTACTCTAGCCTGGACAACAGAGTGAGACTCTATCTCAAAAAAAAAAAAAAAAGAATCAAAAGGAAGAAAGGTACTGGAGAGTGTGCAGGATTCAGGAGGCAGCATTAGGAAGGCACCACTTCTGAGTGAGAATTTGGAAGAGGAGGCATCTGTTGGAGTGAAAAGAGAAAGTCAAGCAGTGGAAATTATGGATCCCACAGAAACAAAGAAGTCATAAAACTGGAAATACACTGACCTTCCCAGGCACCAGAAAATAAGTCATTTGTTAAAGAACCTGTACTTCACTGTACCAACGGGAGAGAGCATTCTTAAACTAAGAAACCTCATCAGTCATTCAAATCCCTCACTCACTCCATAGACACAGGTGCTAATGGCTGATCAAGAAAAATTCAAGACACTTTACAGAACTACCATTTGATGGTAGTTATTGGCAGAAGAAAAGAAGTCAGTATGTGAAAAAGATACTTGCACACACACGTTTATAACAGCACAATTCCCAGTTGCATAAATATGGAACCAAACCCAATGCCCATCAATGATTTGATAAAGAAATTGTGATATATTTATCCCATGGAATACTACTCAGCCATAAAAAGGAATGAAATAATGACATTCACAACAACCTGGATGGAATTAGGGACCATTATTCTTTTTCTTCTTCTTCTTCTTTTTTTGAGATTGAGTCTCGCTCTGTTGCCCAGACTGGAGTGGGAGCAATCTCAGCTCACTGCAACATCCGCCTCCCAGGTTCAAAGCAATTCTCCTGCCTCAGCCTCCCAAGTAACTGGAATTATAGGCGCCTGCCAGCACACCCAGCTAATTTTTGTATTTTTAGTAGAGATGGGTTTCACCATGTTGGCCAGGCTGGTCTCCAACTCCTGACCTCAAGTGATCCGCCCACCTCGGCCTCCCACAGTGCTGGGATTATAGGCTTGAGCCACCACGCCCGGCCTAAGGATCATTATTCTAAGTGAAGTAACTCAGGAATGGAAAAACCAAACAGCATATGTTCTCACTTATAAGTGGGAGCTAAACTATGAGGGTGCAAAGGCATAATGATACAATGGACTTTGGGGACTCAGGGGAAAGGGTGGGAGGGGGGTGAGGAATATAAGACTACACATTGGGTACAGTGTACCCTGCTCAGGTGATGGGTGCACCAAAATATCAGAAATCACCACTTAAGAACTTATTCATGTAACCAACACTGCCTGTTCCCCAAAAGCCTATTGAAATTTTAAAAATAATTCCAAGACACTGTAAAATGAACAGAAGAAGGCAGGCAACCACCATAGGAAGTTACTACAAGAAGAAAACAGGAAGAATCCAAATTTTTCCACTAATAAAAATATTTCCAAAATAAGGCAGAGAAAAACTATATAGCACATGCTTCAACATGAATTAAATATAATTAAACTAGCAGCAATGTATATACACACATACAAAAAAAAAAAAACATGAATTAAAAACCTCCTAATAGAGGCTGAGCATGGTGGCTCACGCCTATACTCTCAGCTCTTTGGGAGGCCAAGTTGGGTGGATCACCTGAGGTCAGGAGTTCAAGACCAGCCTGGCCAACAAGTTGAAACCCCATTTCTACTAAAAATACAAAAATTAGCCAGGCATGGTGGCACACACGTGTAGTCACAGCTACTTGTCGGGGCTGAGGCAGGAGAATTGCTTGAACCCAGGAAGTCAAGGCTGCAGTGAGCCAAGATGGCACCACTGTGCTCCAGCCTGGCTGACAAAGTGAGACCCTGTCTCAAAAACAAACAAACAAACAAACAAAAACTCCTAATAGAAACAGACAAAAAGGAGATGTAAAACAATTTATTTCGATCAGAAAAGAAAGCGAAAGAAAAGACAAAATCATCTCAGGAATTAAGACCAAATTACAAGGTGTTCAGAGGAGAATAGTGGAATAAAAGCATCCAAGACAGTGAGCAATAGTGAGCTACCTGGCTGTGCCCATCATTAAGCCATGGATGTCTCAGCTCCAACTCCTCCCTTCTATGCTCAGCTATGTGATGTCGGGGCAGCTACAACTGAGTTTTGCTTTGCCAGCTGGACCCAGGTTGGCCTTTGGCAATAAAGGGAGCAAAAGGGAGACTGCAAGGCTGGAGGAGAAGGAGAGGATGAGTTTCCTCCTGTCTGTTCACTGTATCACCCTAGCAATGCTTCTTCACCCTGGCAGCAGCACTTCCTTTCTGCAGAAGCATTTGAACGTAGTTTGCAGTTTGCAGTTTTTCTAGCACTTGCAGACCCGACCTCATATGGCCCATCTCATATTCACCAGAACCAGTGCAGAGCTCCCCCCTTGAAGGTCTGAGTTTGAGCTCCAGGTGCCCCTCCTCTAAGTTCCTACTTGTTCCCTTTTCTTATTGTTTCTTTAACCCTGGGAGTGGAAGCTGCAGTTGCTACCTCTATGAGACCTTAGAGTTCTCTTTTTATCCTGTTATAACTTTATAATGAACACATTTTTACCTAGTTAACACTTTTTATATGAAGTTCTTACTGTTCAAATAACTTGTATGTATACTGTCTCTTGACCAGATCCTGACTACACTGGTGAACTAATAGAAAAGTAATTTCTTGAAATGATCCTGGGTAGTTTATAGGATGAACAGAATGGCCTGAGAATGAGGCTTAAACAGATGGAAGCCCAGCCATGTTCCTCCTGCAGGAATCATCTGGGCAAGACACACTGCTAATGCCTTTCACATTGCTGCACCCACTGTCACCACCACAGATCCCAACATGCAGAGGATTTGAACAGACAGGTAAGGCTCACTCTGCAGATAGATAGGGACAGGACAGTAAAGAAATTCAGAGGCAAGTTTTTAGACAGTTTCACTTTTCTTAGATTCATCTCTCCAAAAAATATTTATCAAGTACCTTCTATGTGCTAGGCATCAGAAGGGAACAAAAATAAATGACATGGATCTTGTCTTAAAATCTAGACCACTGTTTCTCAACATTAGAATTTAATAAAATCTGGGATACTGTTAAAAATACCTCATCTCGGCCGGGTGCAGTGGCTCAAGCCTGTAATCCCAGCACTTTGGGAGGCCGAGACGGGCGGATCACGAGGTCAGGAGATCGAGACCATCCTGGCTAACACGGTGAAACCCCATCTCTACTAAAAATACAAAAAACTAGCTGGGCGAGGTGGCGGGCGCCTGTAGTCCCAGCTACACGGGAGGCTGAGGCAGGAGAATGGCGTAAACCTGGGAGGCGGAGCTTGCAGTGAGCTGAGATCCGGCCACTGCACTCCAGCCCCGGGTGACACAGCAAGACTCCGTCTCAAAAAAAAAAAAAAAAAAAAAAAACCTCATCTCTGGAGATGCTGGACCATTGCAGCTGGTGTGGAGCCTACAACATATACTTTTTAACAAGCATCCCAGGTGATTCTGAAGTTGGTAGCCCACAGACCACTTTGAGAAACATTGATATTACAAACAAAAAAAATTATGCAGCAGGCACAAAATCATGTGTAGGGGAAGAAAAATAATTGTTTCCTCAATCCTCATAGGTCTTTTTAAAAAACAAACAAAAAAAACAAACAACACAAACAACAACAACAAAAAAAACGGAGTCTTGCTCCGTTGCCCAGGCTGGAGTGTGGTGGCATGATCTCAGCTCACTGCCTCACTGCAAACTCCACCTCCCAGGTTCAAGTGATTCTCTTGCCTCAGCCTCCCAAGAAGCTGGGATTACAGGCACCCACCACCATGCCAGCTAATTTTTATATTTTTAGTAGAGACGGGATATCGTCATGTTGGCTGGGCTGGTCTCGAACTCCTGACCTCAGGTGATCCATCTGCCTTGGCCTCCCAAAGTGCTGGGATGACAGGCGTGAGCCACTGTGTCTGGCCACTTCATAAGGTTCTTAGTTGGAATAGACCCCATTAAAAGAAAGAAAGAAAAAAAAAAGATTAACAAGAGAAAAACAAGTTTATTTACATGTATATTTCACATCTACATGGCAGACACCAGGGAAGGAGTAGTTCTCAAAGAAGTAGCTTTGAATTCCAGCTTGTATAGCATCTTCAACAAAGAATAGTGATTTTTAGAGAAGCGACAGGACAAAGGAAAAGGAATTTGGGTCTCTAGAGGGGGCTTCTCGGCAGAGAAGCAAGTAACTGGCAGATAAAGGCGAGTTGGTAATGCATGTCCAGGTAGATTCCTCTGGCTCCAACTCCTGGCAGATAATGGTCTAAAACTGTCTTCAGTGGTTAACCTTTGTTCTCCCTGGTAAGAGACAGGGGCAGGATGCCTTTTATCTTTGTAAATCTCTGTCCTGCATTTAAGCAAATGGAGGGCAGCGAGCTTTTCTGCATCTGTTTCTTCTTAATTGTCTTCAGTTCAACAATCCTCCTTCTTTTGGAGTGGCATATTCTGGACTCCCACACATGTCTGGAAGCAATGGTCAATTTCAATCTAGAATGTAGATTTATTGATTAAAAAGAGACAAGGAAGAATTGCTTAGGAGGTCAGTTTTATGCAACTACAGGACTTCAGAAAAAGAACAGATCCTTCCTACTTGATTTTAGGCAATAAATGCTTCTTATCTGATTGATCAGAAGACCACAGCCTTTAGAAAAACATGACTCGAAAAATCTTTTTCTTTGAGTTTTTTTGACCAACCTTGAAAAAAAGTCCTGCAGGATATTTTCAGTTAGGAACCACCAATAAATGTATTTTTTGTCTGTTACCACAAATATGTTTATTTGTGGTAACGGGTTTAAATATGTTTCTTTAATCTTTAATCGTACCCAGGTGAGCCTGACACTTAACTCTCTTTCGTATTCCTATATTCTTCCTTCCTCTTAATACATTTTTCTTCCTTCTTTCCTGGCTCCAAACTCCTAGTTTTCTCCCTTTCCTAATTGAATTTTTTTCAATTTTTCAGCCACAGGCGCCCAATAAAATGGCCTTCAATCCCTGCCTTTACTTCCAGCGTATTACCTCACTCCCTCTCAAACGCCAATTACAAGGCTTTGTCCATTCCTGCTTAAAGAAATAGATGGAGGAAAATGAGATCTTTCTACCCAGAAAGACAAATACTTGGAAATCGCTAATTAGGTCACCAGAAATTCTGCCAATAATGAGCCCCGGGCTGTGGCGGTGGCTCACGCCTGTAATCCCAGCACTACTGGGAGGCCGAGGTGGGCGGATCACGAGGTCAAGATGTCAAGACCATCCTGGCCAACATGGTGAAACCTTGTCTCCACTAAAAATACAAAAATATTAGCTGGGCATAGTGGTGCGCGCCTGTGGTCCCAGCTACTCGGGAAGCTGAGGCAGGAGAATCGCTTGAACCTGGGAGACGGAGGTTGCAGTGAGCTGAGATCACGCCACTGCACTCCAGCCCAGGCGACACAGTGAGACTCCATCTCAAAATAATAATAATAATAATAATAATAATAAGCCCACTCCCCTTGCCTGCCGAAGTGACTCCAGTAATCACTCAGCATGGACTTTACTTAAGAGCTGGCTTGACTTCCCATCTAAATTGCAGTGGCTCAGTGGCTCATGCCTGTAATTCCAGCATTTTCGGAGGCCAAGGCAGGCAGATACCTGAGGTCAGGAGTTCGAGACCAGCCTGGCCAACATGGAGAAATCCCGTCTCTACTAAAAATACAATAATTAGCCAGGCGTGGTGGTGCGTCCCTGTAGTCCTAGCTACTCGGGGAGGCTGAGGAAGGAGAATCGCTTGAACACCTGGGAGGTGGACGTTGCAGTGAGCCACGATCGCACCTCCACGCTCCAGCCTGGGTGACAGGGCAAGACTCCATCTCAGGAAATAAACAAATTGCAAGGAAAGGCCAAACAAATCTCACTGTGAATGTGGCTTGTCCATTTGCTGTATAAACAGCCCTATTGCCTCCCTAGTGTGAAGCGTCAGGTCCTGCTAAGAGTGCTGGGTGGAAAGGCCTCTTTGGGGAACATGGCTTTGTTTTGGCAAATATTGTTGCTGATCAACCCTGGGATCAGAGCTAAAGGCCCATTCTTATCTTGAGGAAGCAAAGGGGTTTTCATGTGTGTGGAATAGAAAATACCTTTCACATTTTACAGACACTATTCTGAGAAAAAAAATCAGGCCCAATGTAAGGGACAAGAGGCAGCACATCAACAAGATTCTGGAATAAATACAGTACTAACTCCCATTCCCCAGAGTACTAGCTGCTAGTAAAATGAGATATAATGTTTCAGGCTTGACAGGGTCTCTGTTACAAACCATTCTTACATTCCTGGGCACAGAGCTAGTCTAAACATTCATAGAACTCTTCAATTATATATTGGCTTCTACATCAGCAGAGTTGAAGAGGAAAACAATGGCAGGGTGTATGGGCCTCCTTTCAGATACGGAGTAACAGAAACCCCAACTCAAAGGTCTTTCCAAAAAGGAAATATACTTTTTCATAAAAAGAGAATTTCAGAGATAAAGCAGACTTTAGGTTGCCCTCAACGATGTTAGCAACATCCTAGATTTTCAAATCCCAGCCCACAATCTATATTTGACATCTTCATCTGGAAATTGGCTCTCCTCCTAGGTGTCAAGTGGCTGCCAATAACAACTGCACTTTCTCTAAGGAGGGAGGAAGGACTTCCTTGGAAATCACAAGCAAATCTCTCCTCAAGGCTCTGCAGCCACAACTTGGTCACATTTCCATTTCTAAACCAATTTTTGACAAAAGGGAACATATTATCCTGAAATTATTTCAGCCTAGGATAAGCTTTCCCTCTGACACTTGGCCACTTAGTGGAGGGTGGAGGCTGGAAAAAAGTCAGGGCTGTGTTCGAGGAAGAAGGAGAAATGCTGAGTGGGCTACCAACAGTGTCCCCCACCTGGAGGGAGAGGCTTTGCTGAGTAGGAACTTGAAATAGCTAAGTTAAAACTGGAAGTACATCTGAGGACCCTTCCAACTAGCAGATTCCAAGAAGACTCAATAATGCCTGATCCCAAATCCATTCTTTCATCAATCTGAGCTGAGGCACTGTGTAACATCAGGAAACTGTGCAGGTTCTTCAAGAGGTACAAAGATAAATAAAAATGGTTCCGTCTGGACTTTATTGCACAGTGAGAGTCATATGGGGTATCTGTAAATAACAATAAAAGGTAGAATCACTTTGTGGGAAGTTTGATCCACAAGGAAGACTTCTGTGATGGTTAAGTCTGTCAACGTGATCGGATTGAAGGATGCAAAGTATTGATCCTGGGTGTGTCTGTGAGGGTGTTGCCAAAGGAGAGTAACTTTTGAGTCCGTGGCCTGGGGAAGGCAGACCCATCCTTAATCTGAGTGGGCACAATCTAATCAGCTGCCAGCACAGCTCGAATATAGAGCAGGCAGAAAAACGTGAAAAGACTAGACTGGCCTAGCCTCCCAGCCTACATCTTTCTCCCGTGCTCGATGCTTCCTGCCCTTGAACATCAGACTCCGAGTTCTTCAGTTTTGGGACTCAGACTGGCTCTCCTTGCTCCTCAGCTTCCAGACAGCCTATTGTGGAGCCTTGTGAGCATGTGAGTTATTACTTAATAAACTCCCCTTCATGTAACATTATATATATATCCTATTAGTTCTGTTGCTCTGGGGAACCCTGACTAATACAACTTCCGAGGAGGGAGATCGCTTCTGAGCAAATTTTGAGGAATGGCAGCAAGAAGAAGGTGGCTTCTGAGCCGAGCCTTGTGAGAGATCACATTTTACGTAGTATGAGGGACAAGTATTTCTGGGTAAAGGGACAGCAATGGGGCGGGGCTAGTTAAAAAACACGATGAGGGAATTATCTTCAGTGTAAATTGCTCCCCCACCAAAAGGACAAGGTGTCTGACTCACCACCTAGTGGCTTCACTGGATGTTCTCCTTCTGCTCCACAATCCACCCCTCATTCTTCTCCACCTTGTTCTGTGGCCCCAGAGGCTGGCCTTGTGGACTGTATCAACTAGGCCACCTTTTTCCTGGTGTGAGTTGGGTTCGGCTAAGATGGCATGGGCAGGAGATGACAGAGTGAGAAGAAAGAGAGTTGGAGGTATGATTCCTCCAGCGTCCTCCTTGCCAGACTATAGGTGGGCAGTAGCCATATTCCTCTAGCAAAAGCCATGGCTTTCTCCAAACAGCCCTTCCCTATAACTAGTAACATGGGAGTTGGGCAGGGAAGTGCTGGGTAGAGAAGGGCCAGGTCCCTGGTGAGGGCTCCACCCTCAAGCCTGTGCCACACACCTAAGTGAGAACAGGCACTCCTGTTTTCATGCCCGAATGTTGCATTTTCCAAGACCACTCGGGCCAACCAAGCCCCCCATCCTGTACCCATATAAACCCGAGACCTTAGTGGGTATGCACACAAGCAGCTGAATGTCGAGACCAGCAGACCAGTGACAGCAGAACGATGCAGCAGACGAAAAAAAGGGGGACGTCTGGATGCCGAGGGAAGGTCGGCCGGCGTGGTTAGAGAAGGGTCCAGCTGCTGGGCAGCCCGACTCCAGGGAAAGATTATTTCCCTCACCCCTCCACCTTCTGGCTCCCCATCCATCTCGCTGAGCATCGCCTCCACTACTCAATAAAAACTTGCACTCATCATTGGAGCCCATGTGTGATCCGATTCTTCTGAGACACTGAGCCAGAGCTCAGGATACAGAGGCTGTCACACTGGCCCTCTGCTCTTGCAATAAGGCAGAGGGTCCATTGAGCTGATTGGCACACAAGCCATCTGCAGATGGCAAATCCGAAAGAGTTTGGGTTACACGTGCCCGCCTGGGAGTTGCAGACACCCACACCTAGACACTGCTATGGGGCCGAGAGCCCAAAGCATTCATCCCATCCTCTGCACCTGCCAGTCTACATGCTCCCCTAGGGGTTTGAGCTGTAGGGCAACCAAGCAGGTGAGCCACACCCTTGTTCCATGTGCTGCAGGGGGAAACAGGGAACTCTCCCACTTCACTAGCTTTCAGTACCTGCTCCCTCCCTGTTCACCACACTGGGATAGCAACCTTGAAGCATTGCCAGCCCTAGGGGCTTCATCGTAATGCCTGGTTTCCTTGCACTATCAATGCCTCTATAGAAAAGGCCCTTGATTAAGTTCTCCCCAGTCAGCCCGTCTGAATATTCCACCTGCTTCCGGCCTGGACCATGACTGACAGAGATCTTTGTAGTCAACTGAAGTTAGCCAGTAATTTTTTTTTTAAATTTCCATTGCTGTTCTCTTATTTCTTGCTTCTAAGTATCTTATTTCCTCATCTTCTAAGTGTGGCATTAATAATGAACTTCCCATCAGATCTATAAGTTGAAACTCTTTCATCTCTACCTTGAAGAGCTAGATATTTCTTTCTAAATGTTGGAACTATACAAAAGACAAAAGAAAAAATAGAAAAATTGGACTTCATCAAAATTAAAATCTTTTATGCTACAAAATATATCATCGAGAAAGTGTAAAGCAACCTGCAGAATGGGAGAAAATATTTGCAAATCATATCTGATAAGGGACTTACATCCAAAATATAGAATTCTTACAACTCAATAAATAACACAATGTTTTTAATGGGCAAAGAATATGAATAGATATGTCTCCAGAAAAGATTACAAATAGCCAGTGTGTACATGAAGAGATACACAACAGCATTAGCCATTTGACATACGCAAATCAAAGCCAGAATTAAAACCACTTCATCCCCACTAGGATGGCTATAACTAAAAAGGCAAATAATAACAAGTGCTGGCTGGCGAGGATGTGGAGAAATTGACACACTCATCCATTGCCAGTGGAAATACAGGATGGTGCCAGTCACTTTGACACTTCCTCAAAATATTAAACAGTTACTAGATATTTTCCCTTTTACTTTTAGTTGGCACATAATATTTATGTGATACAGAATGGTATTTCCGTACATGCATACAATGTATAATGATCAAATCATGGTAATCAGCATATTATCGCCTAAAATATTTATCATTTCTTTGTGCCATAAACATTCAAAACCCTCTCTTCTAGTTTGTTGAGAATATACAATAAATTACAGTTAACCATCTTCACCCTACGGTGCTGCAGAACACCAGAATTCATTTCTCCTATCTAGCTGTCATTTCGTATCCATTAACCAACCTCTCCCCATAGTCTCCTCCTCACCACTCTTCCCAGGCCCTAAGACTCAGTGTTCTACTCTCTATTTCCAGGGGCTCAAATTTTCTTTTTAGCTACCATGTATAAGGGGAACATGTGATACTTATCTTTCTGCACCTGATGGATTTCACTTAACATAATGACCCAGCAATTCTACTTCTAGGTATATACTCAAGAAAGTGAAAATAGGTGTCCACACGAAAGCTCTGTACACAAATATATTCATAGCAGCATTATTCATATTACTCAAAAAATGGAAACAACCCAAATGTCCACCAAATGATGAATAGATAAATAATTTGTGGTCTACCCATATGATGAACTATTACTGGGCAATTAAAAGGAATGAGGTTCTGATTCATGCTACAACATAGTCGGACCTTGAAAACATCATGCTGAGTGAAAGAATTCAGTCACAAAATACTACATGTATGATTCTATTTATATGAAATGTCCAGATTGGCAAATCCATAGAGGTAGAACGTAGATTAGTGGTTGCCTGGGGAAACTTAGGGAGAAATGGGGAGTGACCGCTAGTGGGTACAGGATTTCTCTAGGGGATGATGACAAAGTTCTAAAACTGACGGTGGTGATGGGTGCACATTTCCTTGAATATACTGAAAACCACTGTAAACCTTGAATTAGTGTATTACACGTGAATGATAGCTCAATAAAGCTAATAAAAATTAAAATGATGTGTTTTAAAATTTTGGAACCAACTAATTCTAAAAGCAAATGTTGCCAAAATTTCCAAAATACCTTTGTCTATAATCTTTAGGCTATTTCATGTGTCTGACAGCTACTTAGTAGCCTCAGAATAAATGTGAGAACAAATTAGTAGCTTATTGATCACCATCTTTCCACCTTTTAACGCACTTTGTTTGTTTGTTTGTTTGTGTGTTTTTTCCAGAAGCCAATCCCACACCAAAACATGAACAGGGGAATGGAATTTATTGCTCCTGTGTCAGCTCCCACCAAATCCGGTGCCCTGTGGCATTTTCTTTCTCCGGGCCCCACAGATGCCCAGAGATCAGTTAGAATCAGGCCAGGCACCAGAATGGGCTTGTCCTCAGATCCAGTTGTCAGCACCTTGTCTTCCAATTACCTAGCTCTGCTAACTCTCTCTTACAAGCCTGGGAGAAGAGTGACAAGTTCATACCTAAATGTAAGCTCTGAAGGGTCTTAGCACCCGCAAGTTTAAGGAAACCCATGAGATGCTCTGAAACTTCCATGAAAATGAAGACTTGGAGGGATTGTCACATTCTTTTTTTTTGAGACGGAGTCTTGCTCTGTCACCCAGGATGGCGTGCAGTGGTGCGATCTTGACTTACTGCAAGCTCCACCTCCCAGGTTCATGCCATTTTCCTGCCTCAGTCTCCCAAGTAGCTGGGACTACAGGTGCCCGCCACCACGCCCGGCTATTTTTTTGTATTTTTAGTAGAGACGGGGTTTCACCGTGTTAGCCAGGATGGTCTCGATCTCCTGACCTCATGATCTGCCTACCTCGGCCTCCCAAAGTGCTGGGATTACAGGCATGAGCCACCGCGCCCAGCCGGATTGTTGCATTCTTGCATGCCTGGATGTTTCATATTCTCTGAATATCCAGCATGAAACTGATCTGTTCCCATGCTTTTTTGCCAAAGTGGTTTATGTTAGGATAAAAGAAAATACCCCTTACCAAGATGCTCTGAAAGCACCTTCTCCGTTATATTAATGATAACTAATGTTATTAAGAGAACATAAGGCAACTTTAACAAAATAAGAGCTCACTAAAGGGAATCCTGTATGGAAATTGTTCATGCAAATGCCATTTCGGAGCTGGCATTGTACTTGCAGACGGGGTCTCTACAGGAAGCTATGGCTTCAGTCCTACATGAGCCCGTATAACCACTCAGCACATAAAGTTCCATGAAATCGGTGCCTCAACTCACAGTATCTCTAAAGGAACTGCTAACTTAAAAAGTAATCCATCAATAGTAAGGATTTTTAAACTTGAGCCTAAAAATTTTAAATACTGTTAGTAGTAATAAAGCAATGAGATTTCTCTAAAATTATTGTTGCCTGTATCACTTTAAATCTTTGACATAAATGAAAACTTGCATGGAAAATGGTACAGTTCTAAGCAAATCAAATAGGTTGAGCATTAATAAACAGGAAGATGAAGTAGGTGAAATTGATTTTGTTGGGAACTGGTGGGAACTGGTAGAGATAGTGATTTTTTAAAATACTTTTTAAAATTTTTATCTATTTATTTATTTTGAGACCAGGTTATGAGACTGGCTAATTTTTATATTTTGGTGTTTTGCCATGTTGCCCAGGCTGGTCTTAAACTCCTGGGCTCAAGCGATCCACCCACCTTGGCCTCTCGAAGTGCTGGGATTACAGGCATGAGCCACCATGCCAGGCTGAGACAGTGTTTTAAACTGTGCTATTGATGATCTAGGGAAAAGGTAAATCAGCCTGAGATAACAGAAGTCCTTGTAGTCCACATGTAGGTACGTGGGCATGAAGTAAGAAAGCTCCAGAATTCTGCTGAGGCCACAAGGATTTCCAGAACTGGCAGTAGTTAAGAATTTTGCAGAATTGAAGAGTCACACCTCTAAATTTGTGTAGATTGTGAAATCTCTTCTTGCAAGAAAAAAAGAGAAATAGCGGGAGTTATGGAAATAACAGTTGATGAAAACTTGGTAGTCTGAAGTCTGAACTTTGAACACTGGCAGACAGGCTGAGAATTCTCTTTGATCGTGAGCCCAAGTTCCATGTGCACCCGCAGGAATCTGTGCAGCATTTGTGCACTGGTGTGGCACCCAGGAGAGGACCACAGAGTGACAAGCCACCAGGCTCTAAAGGGAGGGGACGATCCCCAGAGGACCTGGATAGAGATGTTTCCATGACCATTGTCTGCTGTGTGCTCCCAGTGATGAGACTCTAGAATTTACACCTGAAACACACAGTCATTTAAGATATTATTTGTAATATCTGGTATGTCTAAGTAAAACATGTATTCAGTAAAACTTGCCATGCAACTTATCTCATTGTGTGGATTTCATTCTTCTCAGTTAATTCTTTTATGTTTTCTGAGGTTTTTTCTAGACGGAGTTTCATTCTTGTCGCCTAGGCTGGAGTGCAATGGTGCGATCTCGGCTCCCTGCAACCTCTGCCTCCCAGGTTCAAGCGATTCTCCTGCCTCAGCCTCCCGAGTAGCTGGGATTACGGGTGCCTGTCACCACATCCAGCTAATTTTTGTATTTTTAGTGGAGACGGGGTTTCACCATGTTAGCCAGGCTAGTCTCGAACTTCTGACCTCAGGTGATCTGCCTGCCTCAGCCTCCCAAAGTGCTGGGAATACAGGCGCGAGCCACCACGCCCAGCCTTTTATGTTTTTTTAATGTCCCAGTTTAAACAAATGAAGATCATATGTTCGGTAAGGAGGCATGTTGGACAGGATGATCAGTGTTTAAGCACCTGAGGAAGGTACTTGCTGCTCGATTTTGCTGTGAACTTGCAAAGCTCCTCTCGAAAAGAAAGTCTGCTTTACAAGGAGGGGTCTAGAACTGGGCTTTGTAAGATAGGTACGGTTTGCAAAGCCAGAAAGAAGGAGAGAAGAGCATTTAACAAATAAGGCAAGATGGACCCTAATCTCTTCGAACCCAGAGGGAAAGGCCCTGATGAGACCAGAAGGGGCTGGCACAGGGAGGAGCAGTGGGGCAAGTGGAAAGAGCAGGTGCCTTGAGGTCAGCAGAGGAACTCAGACTTGAGGTTTTAGATATTAAAAAGCCATTGTGCTTGAAGTGTGTTCTGGAAAGATGACCCGCTCTGGTGTGCTTGCTCCTCTGCCCTGGCCAGGCCAACCCCAAGTCTTGGGCCTAGAGAGGTTCCTGAGGGCTGCCTGGGAGGGCCAGAGAGGAGTGAGCCAGAAAGGGGAGGGCCAGCGGGGCCATCGCTGTGAAAGAACAACTAAGAGAGGACAGGCCCATGGGCTTGGTCCAGGTGACAACAGTGCCCAGCCCTGTTCTAGGGAACTGAGGCCCGGTGGCCTTTCATCCCTCGGCCCTGGGGATACCTGGTCAGCCCCCTCAGGGGAGGTAGAGCTCTCTAGACCTTAAAGAGCCTTTGGGGTGTTACAAGTTGACTTGCATCCCCCAAAAAGATATGTTGAAGTCCTAATCCCTGTACCTGTGAATGTGACCTTATTTGGAAATAGGGAGTTAAAACGAGATCATTGGCCGGGCACAGTGGCTCACACCTGTAATCCCAGTACTTTGGGAGGCCGAGGTGAGCAAATTACCTGAGGTCAGGAGTTTGAGACCAGTCTGACCAACATGGTAAAACCCTGTCTCTACTAAAAATACAAATACTAGCCAGGTTTGGTGGTGCATGCCTGTAATCCTAGCTACTCGGGAGGCTGAGGCAGGAGAATTGCTTGAACCCGGGGGATGGAGGTTGCAGTGAGCGGAGATCATGCCACTGCACTCCAGCCTGGGTGACAGAGTGAGACTCTGTCTCAAAATAAATAAATAAATAAAATGAGATCATTAGGGTGCGCCCTTAGTCCAATGTGGCTGCTGTCCTTATAAGAGGGAAATTTGCACACAAAGAGATGCACAGAGAAAAGACAGCCACATTGCAACAGAGACAGAATTGGAGTCATTTATCTTCAAGCCAAATAACCAAGGGTTGCTGCGAACCAACCACCAGACTCTTGGAGCAGGCCAGGACTGAGCCTCCCCCGGAGCTTCAGGGAGAACCGGCTTCTGCTGATGCCTTGATTTTGTACTTCTGGCCTCCAGGACTCTCAGAGACCATATTTCTGTTGTGTTAAGCCCCACATTTTGCAGTTCGTTCTTTGAGCAGGCCCTGCTTGGGAGTGCAAGCAGAGCCCCAGGGCAGCCCAGGGGACAGGGCACCAAGGGTGTGCATCTGGGCAGAAGCGCTTCTCTAGGGTTGACGGCAATTATGTGAGTGTTGGGAGAGCAGAGAGGAGACCTGCACAGCTGCTGAGAGGCTGATCCCCAAAGGTGTCCTCAAGAGGTATTTTGTTTTCAAAGTAAAAATCATTGTCGTCCCAGCTTGAGCAATATGGCGAAACCCTGTCTCTACTAAAAAAATTACAAAAATTACCTGGGCATGGTGGCATGTGCCTGTAATCCCAAAGTGCTGGGATTACAGGCGTGACCCCTGGGCCTGGCCCTTCCATATGTTTTCTATGTGAATAAAATCTCTATCACCCTTCCCTGTTGTACATAACGTGGAGCAATGGTGTTCGCTGATGTGCAATCTACTTCTTTTGAGCACAGTTTAATCTGTGGGTGGGATTACTCGGGATTTCTCCCTCAGCTACTCGGGAGGCTGAGGCTAGAGAATCGCTTGAACCTGCGAGGCAGAAGTTGCTGTGAGCAGAGATCGCGCTGCTACACTCCAGCCTGGACAACACAGCGAGACTCCATCTCAAAAAAAAAAAAAATCACTGTAGTCATGCAACAGACATGGGCTGATCATCCATTATGGTTCAAAGTACCGTCCAGGAGATACGCATAAAACACAGACCTGTCCTCAAAGAGTGAACAAGTCACTAGATATGTTGGTAAAATCCTTGAAATTCTTGGGGAAAGATAGCTTTTCTAACCATAAATGACCGCTCTAACTTACTTGTTAGCTCTTCAACTTCAAAGTATGTCCAAAAGAACACTGTGTTTGGGGTCTTACAGATGAACAGAGTGCTGTTGGGGTCCTGGCATTCCACAGCATAAAGACATATTCCTGGACCAGCTGCCTTAGAGCCAGAGGGCAAGATGGAGAGGCACCTGAGCTGGTGTTCAGGGCAGGGCTGTGCAGACAGCAGGGCAAGCTGCCATCACGCCCAGACCAACACACAGGTGAGGGAGAGAAGGGAGAAGAAACTGACACAGCACCAGCGATACACCACCCTTGCTGCTTGGGGCCTGCTCCTTCTAGCTGCAGACCGCCCACAGATTAAACTGCTCAAAAGAAGTAGACTGCACATCAGTGAACACCATTGCTCCAAGTTATGTACAACAGGGAAGGGTGATAGAGATTTCATGCACATAGAAAATGTATGGAAGGGCCAGGCCCAGGGGGTCACGCCTGTAATCCCAGCACTTTGGGAGGCCGAGGCAGGCAGATACTGGAGGTCAGGAGTTCGACACCGGCCTGACCAACATGGTGAAACCCCATCTCTACTAAAAATACAAAAATTAGCTGGGCGTGGTGGCACATGCCTGTAATCCCAGGCACTTGGGAGGCTGAGGCAGGAGAATCGCTTGAACCTGGGAGGCAGAGGTTGCAGTGAGCCAAGATCGTGCTATTGCACTCCAGCCTGGATGACAAAAGCAAATCTCCATCTCAAAAAAAAAAAGAAAGAAAGAAAAAGAAAGAGAGAGAGAGGGAAAGAAAGAAGAAAGAAGGAAGGAAGGAAGGAAGGAAGGAAGGAAGGAAGGAAGGAAGGAAGGAAGGAAGGAAGGAAGGAAGGAAGGAAAGAAAAAAAAAAAAAAAAGGAAGGAAAGAAAAAGAAAGAAAGAAAGAAAGAAAGAAAGAAAGAAAGAAAGAAAGAAAGAAAGAAAGAAAGAAAGAAAAGAGAAAGAAAATGTATGGAAGGAAACTGTTAACCCTGGAACCAGTGGTTACTTCTCAAGAAGGTGGAGATCAAAGTGGGAGACAGATTTCCTTTTCCCATATTACATTTTGTTCTATTCGAATTATTCACACCAGTGTGTATTACTTCTTCAATGCAAGTGAATTCCAAAGGGAGACGGATTTCTAATTAGCTTGATTATGATAATTATTTCACAGTGTACACATAGATCAAAACATCTCACCATATATAATTTTTTTTGGGGCAATTATACCTCACTAAAAGTGGAAAAGACAAACACAAAAGAAAATGAAGAAGAAAAAGTTAATAAGCATTCCTAAGTTTAAAAAGAAATAAGTAAATACAGGCCGGGCGCAGTGGCTCATGCCTGTAATCCCAGCACTTTGGGAAACCAAGGTGGGCAGATCACCTGAGGTCAGGAGTTCGAGACCAGCTTGGTCAACATGGTGAAACCCTGAAGGGGTGGCCTGCCCCTCCACACCTGTGGGTGTTTCTCGTTAGGTGGAACGAGAGACTTGAGAAAAGAAATGAGACACAGAGACAAAGTATAAAGAAAAGCGGGGGCGTAGGGGACCGGCGCTCAGCTTACAGAGGACCCACGCCGGCACCGGTCTCTGAGTTTCCTTAGTATTTATTGATAATTATCTTTACCATCTTAAAGATAAGGGAGTGGCAGGACAATAGGATCATTGTAGGGAAGAAATCGGCAGTAAGACATATGAACAAAAACCTCTGTGACATGAATAAGTTTAAAGGAAAATGCTGTGCCTTGAGATGCATATGCAAACATCTCCATAAACCTCTTAGCATTACTTCAGCCTATCACATGGGGAGAAACCTTGGACAATACCTAGCTTTCCTAGGCAGAGGTCCCTGTGACCTTTGGCCGTGTACGTGTCCCTGGGTAGTTGAAATTAAGAGAATGGTGATGACTTTTAACCAGCAAGCTGCCTTCAG